TCTTTCTTCATATTTCCACTGGCTTCACTTCTCTCTATTTGGTCAATCTCATGAGTTTATGTAATTCATGTGTGGTTCATTAGAGATTTTATAATAATTAAGGTTTAAAATTGCGGAATTGGATATTGAGGTATTTTTCTTTCCGTAAGGTTAGGCATAAAATTCGAAAAATTTTGAGGCGTTAGCCTCAAAATAAAATACTTAAATTAATAAAAATTTTGAAATAATAAGTAACATATTAACATCAAAGTAAAATATTAACATAAAATAATAAAAAGTCAAAGTATGATAATTAAAAATCATATAAGACTACAAACAATACTAAATAAATAGTAACTCACTCAAAGTTCAACATAAATAAATAATTTAAGATCATAATTTATGAATTAAAAAATCTTCCTCACTCTCATCATTTAGTGAGTTTTCTTTAGGAACAAATTATAATTAATTGATTTTTCTCCTTCCTCAAACTAAAAATGCAAAAATAAATTTCTGACAACAAGACGAGAAGCATCGATTGTGTAATAATGATGATGGCACAATAAGCATCGGTAATGCAAGAGGATAGGGTGCAAGCACGAGGGTCCTGAGACTCTGAGTTTGAGGTTGTATCATTCTTCTCAGATTTGGTTTAATTTAAGTAGGTTTAATTTACATGTAAAATTAATTTAAATTTTAAAATTAGCTAAAGTTTAATTTTTTAAAAAATTCAAAGAAATTAGCTTAGTTTGTGAGTGTGTTTAGATGCCTCATTATTTGATTGACCATGTAATTTATCCTACATGTCTCAATGATAATGGACACATTAATTAAAATATAAAAACATTCTAATAAAATAATTATTTTAATTATATAAAGAAAACTCATTATATCATATTTTCATAATATTAAGAAATAAGTAGAACTTTATTATATAAATAGATTGTGAATTAATTGTTATATAAACCTAAAGCTTTATTGGGCTGCTAAACTAGTTAGTAATTGAGTATAACCTTAGGCTTCATTTGAGATGGCTTTCTTAATACTTCTTAAAGCATACTTTTAGTACAAAAGATAAATTTTTATACTAGAAAATTGCCTTTAAAAACAGTAAGAAAGTCGTCCCAAATAAAGCCTTAATTTTTCCGGTCAAGGTCTGTGGCTAAACCATCCAAGTTTATCAATGATCATATTTAAGAAAAGGCTATCTCCACTGGGGATAAGAAATGTTGTCTTTAAAGACATGCCGGAGAGTAGATCGATCTTAAAAGAGATTTTGTTGAAAGAACAAATAAAATTAGCTTTTCAAAGATCTAAAAAAGGAAATCAATTGGAACGCATCAAAAATTATGATTAGATAAACCGATTTATACACAATCGCATTTGGACGCAAATCTATTTCTGATTATAACTATAAAAACCGAGTTTATACACAATCACCATGTGGCTTTGTGCCACACTGCAAGCTGGCAAAGACTTTGTGGCTTGCCAAGAAGCCTTAATGGGTCATCATCAGGTTGCTTGCAGCTTGATGTTTATGGCTCACCATTAACTATTCTCGGGTTACCTTTAGCCTATTTTGACAAGACATGAATAAATACCCCCTATACATAGAGAAATGAATTTTCCCTTTTCTAGCCATTTAGGAATGTTTCTTTGTGTTGCCTATTAGCAATTATACTATTCTAAAAATACTCTTATTTAATATTTAGAAGATGATAATTCTACTAATATTTTATATTAAAAGAGAAAAAGTTTAGGGCTTAAAGATTCTATTCCATCAAATGTTTATATCAGAAAATTATCCACAAGTATTGATAATTAGCTAATCTTTTCATCACATATTAGAGTGACTCTATCCTCATAATCACTTATTTTCCTTGTATTTATTGTTTTGTATTATTAACATTGTATAAAATTGTGCAATATCAGGCTCTCCTTGAGGCCCACCTCTATGCTTTTTTTTATGATGCTTACGCCTTAGCTTGGTTGAGGCTGGCCTTTAGGCACATCTTGCCTTACTAGTGTGAGGCATATATATTTTTTATTAAAACTTACCTAAATCTTAAACTAAAACCTCAAATAAATCATGCCTTCATGCATCCCAAGCCGTAGCAATTTCCTCCGACCTCTAATCCACCACCTTTGATGTAGCCACCGCTGAGAATCACTTGAAAGCCGGACGCCACCACCACCTCCTCCTCCAAAAATTTTGGAGTGTTATTCTTATCTTTATGTTGATGAAAAATATTTATGAAAGAAAAAGATGAATGAAATAAATGAAGAAACAGATTGAAAGGCATTGAACTCCACAAGATGAGACAGGGGAGAGAAAAATTTGTTATAAGGACGACTCAAATAAACTCTCCCTCAGTGATGATAGTACAGAAGATTTCTGAGTTACTGGTAATTATGTCAGCTTTTTTTAGAGTGAATGTCGATGAGTAGGGAATTAAGAAAAAATGAATTTGAAGTTGAATTTAATCTTATAGGATACTTTTACGTGATTCCTATATTTAATATTATTTTGCACTTGTAATAATTGGATTTCAATTCTATTTCACGCAATTTATCACTTGTCATTTTACATCTTATTCAATTTTTTATTTCATTTGTATATCAATTTATTATTTCATAGTTCAATAGAAATTTAATATGTCATTCTTTAACATATTATTTGGATATTATATAAAAAATCACTTTTAAACTTTATTTCACGTTACGCAATTTTTTGACTTTGAGTCTTACGCCTCAAAACGTCTTGAGACTTATGCCTCGTCACACAAGAAACATGCCTCAATACCTAATTACACAATTTTAAACCTTTATTATTAACAATCATTTTATATAAAGTTTGTATTATTCTTGTAATCATTAGTTGCAAACATAGTCACCACAAAAAAAAATGATAGATTTTTTAGGAATGTATTTCTCTACTATTGATTAGCATTTGCTTAGACGGTTGTCGGTGCTCTTCTCCTATGAAGTAAAAAGTGACAGCTAATTTTTACATTTGCTTGCAAGTGACGTTGTAATTTATTTAGATAGTTGAATCTTAAGAGTGGGGGTGTTTAACCATGGACACGGGCAAGTTAGGGTTGAACTACATAACTGTAATCGTCTCCAATATTTTTATAAATATATTTATTTTATATTGCACTTAACTTGATTTGCATGCTTATGATAATTGTTCGGTTGTATGCTCACAAGATAATATTATGATGTTATTTATACTTTGTTCTCTATATTTACTTTGTTCTCACAAGATAATATTATTATCATAAAAAGGGTAATTAAATTGATCTTATTAGAAATGTTATTATGGTGATTCAAATATTGAATTTTTATATGGCATGTTTTAAAGTAACATTTATATTGATGTCCTGAATTGTTTGTTACTCCTTGACATAACATCATCAACATCTTCATTACTATTGAAAACACTGGAAACTTATTGTAAGAGATTGTTTATTTACTCTTAGGTTTTGAAGTCCAGTTGATTTACTACATTGGTGCTTAATTTATTTAATCACTCATACTAAGTTCATCCTTATATGCATAGTATTATCGTGTTAATATATTTGTCTTCAGTTTGTTCATAATATATAATGTGTGTATTTAGTTGTGCATTACATATCTTGTGCTGTCTTAAAGTAACATGCTTCCCTCATCTATTATCAATTGTCTTTGTTCAAGCCAATGTACGGAGTAAGTTAAAAAAATTAATAAAGATAATGATTTCAGTTCAATTTAAACAAAAATTAGACACAAGTTGTAAGCAATACTTGAGAAAGAAAGATACATTTCTATTTTTAAGAAAAATTAATAGATATGCCCTGCTACATTTGAAATGAATAAAAAGTAACGTCCTTTCCTACGGTGTAAAAAGAGTAGAGTTCGAGAGAGCTCAAGTATTAACCAATTTAGCTCGTCTAGCGAGAAATTATGTTTAGTTTATTTATATAACAAGCTAAAGAAGATCTGTTCACGAATATGAAGCGGTTTCTAACCTAGCTAGTGAGTAGTATCAGCAAGTTAGAACTTATGAAACATTAATTCAATGATCCCAAACAACAAAGAACTTTTTCAATAAGATGAGCTTAATTTAGAACTTACCAGGATAGACATACCAGCCCAGAACTGATGGAAGTAAAAAGTGTTGAGGTTAGCTTGCTTTCAACATAGTAATTTTCTCAGGTTTCATATCAAGTGATTCCTCTGCCAACCATTGTAGAAAGCATTTTGTGTAGCACCAAATAGACCAAGCTGCATGTTAAGTTCAAAGACAGAAGAACTAAAACATCAACACTGGAAACAATCAACTTCAGGTGATTCATTCCTATCCATGCTTCATTCTTATCAAGTCTTCAGGTGGTTGTAGATTGGTGTTATTTAGCTCTATTGAATTAACATCCATAGTTTTTGGCTCTTTGATGGATAGAACCAGCAGTTTCCTTAAAGCCGTTGTGTGGGGATTCCCAAACTTTGCTAAGAGATCAACCAGCTGGTTCCTATCTCTCGGGACATGCTCCACCTAAGAATTCTCAATTTTAAAATTTCATATTTTATCTTCAGCAGGTAATGTGCTAAGTTCCTTAGTATCTAGTTTACTGCCATCTGAGAATTGCTGTAAAACATCAGCTTCCTGATGCCAAAACTCAAGGAAAAACTTAGGACAACCAGCATATCTTTGTATTTAACATAATCATTGGTATCTTCATATTGGATTTTCAAAGGTTACTTCAACACAGTGCACCATTGGTATGTACTTCAGTGTTAGCTTCAAGGCTTCATGTGAAGTTTGCGAAGAAGTCTAATGAAGTCTGAGCTTTTATCATACTCCTGTGCATTAACTAGAGTTTAAACTCTCTGAGTTCTACCGACTTCTTCTCTATTTTTAGGATCACATCATCTAAGGGTTGGTTACCAATTGCAACATATTTACTTGTAAGTATTGTCATAGCCTTCTACATTATTGATCATAGCCAGGGCAGCTTCTGCATGATGTAGCAGATTGTTGCTTATTGGCTTCCCCTCTTAATAGAACCAAAAAGACGGCCTTCTCCTCGTCTCAAAGGTTCAACTTCAGCATCAATTCCGGCTTTGGACTTATCAGGAAAAACAGGAACATCAAGTATTTCTTCAGCTGCACAAAAACTTTCTTGCATTCTTCTGACCACAAATTGTTTTTCAATCCTTATGCTTTGAAGCACGGAACAATCTTCCCACCAGCTCGGCTGGCAAGTTCCCAACTTCTAAACTTCCGTAACAAACCAAGTAAAGACATCTAAGACAGCATTGATTGGCTTTTATCCTTTCTTTTAAAACACCATAAAGAACTTCCAATTTACACAACACTACACCCTGGCTTTTGAGCAAAGCCCTGCCACTTCCAGTCCTCCCTAAGATTATATACGGCTTCCCATTTTCCTGAAGACGCATAGAAATTAGACAAGATAACAAAAGTTCCTGAAATTTGATGCTTTCTATTTATCATCTCCTTAGCCACCTTCCTCCCCATCTCCAAATTTCCATATATCGTACATCCCCCAAGCAATGCACCCCATATAGTAGCATCGTTATCACTGCCTACACTACATTTTTTATCTGATTTCATTTCCAAAGCATTTCTACTCTCTAAAACTCTTTGAGCTTCCACAAGCTTTCCTGCCCGTCCTAACATATCAACCAGACAAGCAAAATGATCAGCTCTAGGAGAAATACCATACCTCTCCTTCATTAAGTTAAAATATTGCATCCCTTGCTCAATCAAACCACAATGATTACAAGCACTCAGGACAGACACAAATGTCACCTCATTTGGAACAAAATCATTTCTTATCATATTTTCAAAAACTTCAATGGCTTCTGAAGCAAACCCATGTGTAGCATAAGCAGTAATCATTGATGTCCAAGATAAAGCATTCATCATCTGCATTTTATTGAAGATTCTTCGTGCATAAACTAGGTTACCTGATCTAGAATACATGTCAACTAATGCTGTTTCCACAATATAATTACTGCTTAAATCTCCACTAAGAGTTTTTAGCACCTGAACATGTATCTGTTTACCTGCATCCAAAGCTGCAAGGCTGCTACAGGCATCAAGAGCAGTTGCAAAGGTGAAGGAGTTTCCTCTAACCAAGCCTTCACCGTTATAAAATTTGGCCAACAACTCTAAACCTTTTCTTGGTGATCCATTCTGCACATATCCAGAAATCATGGATGTCCATGAGATCACATTCTTAATAGGCATTCTATCAAACAAGCCACAGGCATCTTGAAGCCAGCCATTAGAGATGCACCCTGACATCAACGCATTCCAATGAGATATATCTCTCTCCTTCAAATTATGGAAAACCATCCAAGCTTCACTGATGCTAGAGCACCTCGAGTACATGTCAATTAAAGCACTAACAATGAAGGTGTCATCAATCTCCACTGAACACAACCTTCTATAATAACCAAGTGTGAGGATAACTCCATGGACCTTCTTCCCCATATGGAGAAACCCAAGATTTGCAGCAGCACTTAAAACAGAAACAGCAATGCTATGATCCTCAATGAAAAGCTCCACAAAACCATCACTTTGACTAATGCTCCTCACCGCATCAGCATATTTTTCATTAAAGACATAACCTTTAATCATCAAAAGCTTAGACAGCAAACAAAGTTCTCTCCCTTCCAATGCCCTCTCAGCAGAGCCAACTTCACTGCACTTGAAGTACATCTTAGCCGTGGCATTTGCAACAGTTGGATCTATTTCAAACCCTGCAGCCACAGAGAAGCCATGAATTTGCATTCCCGATCTCAGGTCATTGAGTGCAGCACAAGCAGTCAAGCCACTGGCAACAGCAAACTCATCAGCCCCTAAATCGCATTTAACACTGTAGAAAAGCTCAAGAGCGGGAATGGCCTTGCCACAAGTTGCATAAGCGGCTAGCATAGTGTTCCAGGTAATGACATTTCTTTCGGGCATCTCCTCGAACACCTTCTGTGCAAAACCCAATGAGTTGCATTTAGAATACATGTCGACGAGGGAGGTGGAGACAACAACGTTGGGTGTGATTTGACGACGGATTATCTGGGCGTGGAGGGAGCGAGCAAGGAATGGGTCGCCGACGGCGGCAGCGGAGCGGGCGGCGGATGCAAATGCAAAGGAAAGAGGGGAGAGAGTGGATGGGAGGCGAAGGAGATCGGAGAGAAGGTGGATGGCGGCAATTGGAATGTTTGAGCGGGCGTACGCGGAGATCATGGCTGCCCATAGGAATGTGTCGCGGGAGGAAGAAGGGATCTGATCGAAGAGCTGTCGAGCGTCGGTTAGCGAAGAAGGGGATGTTTGGCAAGCATACGCCTGAAGGAGGCGGGTGGCGACGACCGGATTCCCGTCCAGGCCTTGCTTTAGGAGGCGTGAGTGCGCCTTCATCCATCCGCAGTTTCTCACCTGAATACGAAGAGAATCTCCGGCTTTTTACAACTCCAACCAGGCGGCCAGCTTTATTCTAACAGAAAAAGTCAGGTGTATAGATTTTTGGAGGCCCCTCTACGCGAACATTATTACGGACTCTGATCGAACGTAGCCGTATGTCGACAGTGCTCTTATTCTTTACCGCACACGGTCCGACGACTTGACCCGGAGCGGAACCCGGGAATACTATGTTCGCAATTTTCTCGGTATTGCTCGGTATTTGCTCGGTATTTGTTAGGTATTGCTTTGCAAAAATTGACCAATACCATACAAATACCGAGTTGTACCGAGTTTTTTACAACTCGGTACAACTCAGTATTTGCTCAGGATTTGCTCGGTATTGCTAGGGATTTGCTCGGTATTGCTAGGTATTTGCTCGGTATTGCTAGAAAAAACTCGGTACAACTTGGTACAACTCGGCATTTGCTCGGTATTGCTAGGTATTTACTCGGTATTGCTAGGTATTTGCTCGGTATTGTTAGAAAAAACTAGGTACAACTTGGTATTTGCTCGGTATTACTAGGTATTTGAAATATATCCAAAAGGTGATGGGATGTTGTTCGGCTCGTCAAGGATTTAAAAAAACGCACATGCGAGAACCTAAAAAACAGCGGGTCGGGTCGGCGACTTTTCTTCATGCTACGTGGCGCTAAAATATTGGTGGCCGAACATAGAGGAGTGTACGTTCACCGAACCGAATAAAAGTTCCCTCTACGCAGCTCTTCTTCTTATATTATTAGTTATCAATTAATGTGATGTGCCTAAAAATTCGTATTAATTAATTAAAACATTTTTAAAAATTATGTATTTATCTAATTTAAGATTGTTATATCATCAAAAAATTATCTTGATCAGACACGAATCTTGAGGCAAAAATCAAGTTAGAAACTTCAAAAATTAAATTTGGGATCATCTGAACTCCGATTTCAGCAAACTTACAGTCAAACTGAGTGTCTCAGAAATTCGAACCCAACGACACCAAATTTAACTCAATCTAATCCCAAATGGGTATGAATCGAAGACCCAAAGCGATGTTGGAAGGTTCAAACCACAATTTGGATTACCAAACAATTTTCAGACATGCTTATAGTCGAATCAAGCGGCCCGACGAGACAAATCCATCAAGCCCAAGATCGCAGAATTCCAATACCATTAAGATGTTCAAATGTCTGATGAACGATCCACGATCAAGGGATTCAATATCGGTCGTCCATCCAAACCACTCCACATTTGCTCTTGATCCTCCTCCTATTTACAGGTCATGTCACTCTCAAAAAACTATAAATAGCCCCTCATTTCTCTTGATAGGGGGCCTAGAAGCAAGAATGAAGTAGAGGAGAAGAGAAGAAGAGAAGGAGGGAAGAAACTCCTCCTCGATCACCGTCGGAGTTCCACTCGACTTTCAAGTGACGTCGGAGTTTCGCCCGACTTTCAACGGACACCGGAGTTCCACCCGACTTTCAAGTGATGCCGGAGTTTCGTCCAACTTTCAATGGACGCCAGAATTTCGCCCGACTTTCAAGTGACGTCGGAGTTCCTTCCGACTTCCAAGTGACGTCGAAACTCCGTCTGATCTCCAACTGACTCTAGAGTTTTGCCAGAATACCATCTAACGCCAGAGTTCTCCTCGGCCACCGACTAACGTCGGACTTCTACCCAACGTCGGACCATCGCTCAACGCCAGATTTCTACCGAACGTTGGACTTCTACCTGTTGTTGGATTTTCGTCGGACACCTATCAGATATTGGATTTCCATCCATTGTTGGACTTCTACCTGACACCGTCCTTCTGACCTTCGTCATTAGACAATGATCCTTCCGACCTCCGTTGCCCGACGACTACAGTCCTTCTAACCAAAAGAACATGCCAATAGTGACTCTTTGTATTCCCACAATGTACTTTATATAATGTACATCAAGCCAAGGCCTTCCCCCTAAGAAAGGGCCTCATTTGTAATCGACTGTAAATAATAGTGGATTCATTTAAACTGTACTAGGTCCAATGATTTTTCCATCTTTTTAGGGGTTTTCCACGTAAAAATATTGGTGTCTCATAAATGTTATGCTATCTTTTTCATCTGATTGCGTGCCAGATTTTAGTATAAAGTTAAGACATTAAATTTTATATTTCTCTACCACTGCGACTACTCTAAACGCAATTTTGGCACCGTCTGTGGGAAATGGCTCCCAACTAGGGGGCAAATTTTATTATAACCTCAAAAGGTCATTAACGTCAACTTCCTGACATCAGCCGTTGCTGCTTCAATTTCATAAGAATCAGATTCAAACTGAGGGGCAAATTTAACTTCAACCATAGTCAAAAGATCCTCCAACATCCAGATGATATTTCAGGAAAATTCTAGCAAATGCAAGGATACTTACAATCAATTATAAGCTTTATACAGTCCCTTGATGTACTTTTACTCCTTAGGCAATACTTAATCGCGACCTCAAAAAGACAGTAACGGTCTAAAGATAAACTATTCTCCACCTTTGATTCAGGATATACATAGCATTTGCCCCCTCTCAATCAAGGCAAAATCAATCCGTAGGGGATTCGATTTGACCTCTTCCGCACAGGTTAACGTCATCGAGTAGGGTTTTAACATACAACCTCAGATAGGTCACACATCCTTGGTAGATTATCTTGACCTCTTCCATATAAGTTAACATCATCATGCAAAGGCTCTAACATACAACCTCGGATAGGTCATATATCCTTAGTGGATTCTTTTGATCTCTTCCATATAGGTTAATGTCATCGAACAGTGCTCTAACATACAATCTCGGATAGGTCTTATATCCTTGGTGGATTCTCTCGACCTCTTCCACAAATATTAATATTATCGAGCAAAGACTTTGACATATAACCTCGAATAGGTCTTACATCCTTGGTAGATTCTTTCGACCTCTCCCATATAGGTTAATATCATCGAGCAGTGATCTTGCAAACAACCTTGAATAGATCATACATCTTTGTTGGATTCTCTCAACTTCTTTCATATAGGTAAATGTCATCGAGCAGTGCTATAATATACAAACTCAGATAGATCATACATCCTTGGTGAATTTTCTTGACCTCCTCTATATAGATTAATATTATTGAGTAGTACTCTGACATATAATCTCGGATAGGTCTTACATCTTTGGTGGATTCTCTCGACCTCTTTCACTCAAGTTAACATTATCGAATAAAGGCTTTAACATACAACCTCGAATAAGTCTTACATCCTTGGTGGATTCTTCTGACCTCTTCCATACAAATTAACGTCATCAAGAAGTGCTCTGACATATAATCTAAGATAGGTCTTATATCCTTGGTGGATTCTCTCAACCTCTTCTATATATGTTAACATCATTGAGCAAAAGCTCTGACATACAACCTCAGATAGGTCTTACATCCATGGTGGATTCTCTTAATCTCTTTCATATAGGTTAACGTTATCGAGCAAATGCTCTGACATATAATATCGGATAGGTCATACATCCTTGGTAGATTCTCTTAACCTCTTCCATATAGGTTAATGTCATCAAGTAGGGCTCTAACATACAATCTCGGATAAGTCATATATCCTTGGTGGATTCTCTCGACCTCTTCTATATAGGTTAACGTCATCGAGCAGGGATCTGACATATAACCTGGGATAGGTCTTACATCCTTGGTGGATTCTCTCGACCTCTTTCATATAGGTTAACGTCATCGAGCAAAGGATCTGACATAAAACCTCGGATAGGTCATACATCACTGGTGGATTCTCTCAACCTCTTCCATATATGTTAACGTCATCAAGCATGGCTCTGACATACTATCTCGGATAGGTCATACATCCTTGGTGGATTCTCTCAACCTCTTCCATATAGGTAAACATCATCGAGCAAAGGCTCTGACATATAGCATCAGATAGGTCATACATTCGTTGTGGATTCTTTCAACCTCATTTATATAAGTTAACATCATCAAGCAGGGTTTGACATATAACATTGGATAGGTCATATATCTTTGGTAAATTGTCTAGACCTCTTCTATAGAGGTCGAGCGGTACTCTGAGTGAATAATATTCTCTCTATAAAGATTTTATAAAAGCAAGTGGTTGATAAAATTATTACTCATATGACGATCTTAGTAGGCTAAAAAATCTCAAAAAGGGATATTATGCAATATAACAAAACATGTCTCAAAGATGTAAAAATAATTTAACTTCTCTAAAGGATAAGTTCTCAACTTCATATTTAATATCATTGGAGTTATATTACAAAAATTATACATAAAGTTCATTTTTGCAAGAATCTAAAAGTAAAAATTACAACGCTATCATTCATACAAATTATTATCATCAAGTGGCAAATAACTTTAAAATATTCAAATATCCTTAGTGAATTCAAGTGACTTCTTATCGACTGCATATCAAGCATCTCCTATAACTTATTCTCTAAAGAAAATACATAATTTGATCACCATCAAGCCTCCACCCTAAATGTGAAGAAATCTAAAGATATTTTAAATCGGTACTGTAAATGAACTGGGCAAAAAATCAATTTCCAGAAATCTTCCATTCTCTTTGGTAAGTTGGTTAAGAGAAAAAGAAAGAAGAAATTGTCCAAAATCCTCAAATTTAAAGAGGTTCAAGAACTGAAATATCTTGGGATCAATATTATGCTAAGGAGCTCGGCTAGGATGGATTTCTCTAATCTTCTTAACAAAGCCAATAAGTATTTGAATATTTGGGGCAACAAATACATTTCTTTAGCAGGGAAGATTCTTCTTGTCAAATCTATTCTGTCATCATTTCCAATCTACCACATTACTCATTCCTTAGTTCCTTTGAGTTTACTCAAAGAACTAGATAAAAAGTGTAGAGATTTTCTTTGGAATAAATAGGATGGCAGTAAAGGTATTCATTACATTTCTTGGGAGGTTCTATGCAAGCCTCTTGTTTTGGGAGGTCAAGGCATTCAAT